GGTACTCACAATGTACAATTATTCGGTCGGTATATATGTGTTACAAAGTTTTGGAAGAAATGCCACTGTACACATAAACATCAAACTGCTTTCATCAACCAAACACAGCTTAGTTTCACTGATACATCAGTTACATAGGTAAAGTAAAACCTCCAGGTTGGCAATTCAAATGAATGAAGCATTCCGAAAAAATCAGTTGTTTTATTGAAATGCGAAAGAAATCCTGAATAATTAACGCACACCAATATACATCCAAATATTCCCAAACATCTAATCTTAATCTGAAACGTCATTTCATCGGAATCGTGTATTTGGGCGTAGAGACGACAACCCAATTGGTGTCACCATTTTGAAACACCGACTTCAGTGGCTTGGATATGTTCTATGAATGTCGTCCCAGAGAATTCCACGTCGTGCATTATTTGCCGACGACGCTGAGACTGGTTGGAAAAAGCGGAGAGGTGGTCAGTGTATGACATGGTGTCGTGGTATGAAAGAAAACTGAAAAGGACTAGCTTCTGTTGGTCCTCCACGACTCCCTGACTGGAGTTCAAGAGATGGTGCAACACAGTGGCTAGAGACGTTATCGGATATGGCTCAGAATAGAAGCCAGTGGCGATCCTGCTGCAACCTTCTTTTACTTTCTGCATAAAGAGTGGTTGTAGCTTCCTTAAGTGAAAGAATTCTTTTGATTGTACATTTCAGTTCCCCTCACTATTACTTTTATATATATTTATATATGCATCTTACCCCTTTCTCTTCTCATTTTCATTGTTTTGTATGGTGCATATATATCTGGTGCCCTCTTGCACCAATATTTATGTGTTTAAATAACTAAATAAATGAAATAATCATTCATTGTTTACTTTATTTTAACTTATCATGTTAAACAAGTCAACAATGAGGACAGATACCGAAGGATCATATCTGATCGTGTTTATATAATCTAATTGAAGATTTCAGGTTTAGACTGTCAATGCTTGATTTAGTGGTAATGTATTATGTGCTACTTATATCGACATAAGTAGTATAAAACGCTAGTTAGGATTAGAATGTTTGACAGCAGAAGATCTTGAAGGAAAGAACGGGAACGATAGCATTCGCTATGAAAGTGCAGGAATAATAAAATGTAACACGATTCACTGATATTTGTAAGAGGAACAGTGAAGTTTGACACAATTGATTGATCGTTTTCAAAATGAGGTATTTACTGTATGATTCTCAGATTTTACTAAAAGATTCTGTAACTGTGTGTGTTCAAGTGCATTCGATTGTCGCCATTTGTGTACTCGTTCACTACAGTAAATAAATACTACATTCACTGCATTATGCAACTGTTTTGATTTTAGTTCCGATAAACATAAAGTTACTGTAAGATGATGGTTGAAGGTGGTCAACAGGAAACTCTGGACTTGGATTTCGTGCTACTTGGCACTCGTCAGCAAGGTGTACCTGAGTTACTGTACTCCAGCCTGTTTTTGTTTTTCGTTGATTTATCTACTCTTTTTGAGGAGTCCCTTAATAGGACGAAACAGTCGTTCAATGCTTCTAGGGTTTCCCATGGTGGTCTAGCTTCAATGAATTCATGATTTCAACTAATAAAATAGTAAAAAAAATGTGAAATCAAAAAAGTACCAGTAGTTGTATATCATGGAAGTACTTGTAGCACTCAGTAAAAGATCTTTTATTTGGCATGAAATTTCACTCATCCCATTAGTTAATTAGTAATTAACTATATAATTCTAGTTGACCTGACCTAAGGTTAACAAACAAAAGTAAAAATCAGCCTTATATGATCAGTTTCTGTTGGAAGCGTTAATTACTTAGTTCGAGAGCGATATGCAAATACTGATATGAATATTCATTAATCTGATGGATTTTAATGTAAACAGGAAAAGAAAAAAAAAGGTTGAGGATTAAAATGAATTCCGTTTTACTGTTTCTTATCCTAAATGAGAGGAAATGGACGTCATGGACCCCTTTAGTAATGAGTGTCACAAATTTTGTGTTAAATAATAACGACTTAATTTATAACAGTCAGTCAGTCACAACGCAGAACTTCGTACGCACAAACATCAGTTCGAGTTGCCATACCACATTAGCACAGAGATACAGTTGTCGATTCAAAATTGCATAGCGGTAGAAGTAGTAAGAGTATAAGCATTATGTGAAAGATTAGGGTTTGAAGATGTTAATGAAGGAGTATAATACAGTGAAATAAACTTAAAAAGAGAAAAAGGATGGAGACATGAAGAATTCATAAGATTAGAATTTGGCAGAACACAAAGAGTGGATGCACCTTCACCATTGCAAACGATTTTGAGCCATGTTATTCAAAGTCTTTAACCATCGATTGCTATCATCTCGCGGATCCCGACCAGGAAATGTACACCTACCAACATGATCCAGTCGACTTGTCAGTGACTTCATGGATTTGTACCACATTTTGGTCTGACCGCTTTTAACTTTCTTCCAACCTACACCATAAAACATTTCACGTCGAGGCAGTCAGTGGTTGGGTATACGTAACATATGTCCCAGCCATCTCAACTGATAAAGTTTCACTACTTCATCAATCGATTTGCCATCCTTACCTAGTACCCGTTTTCCAACAACTACGTTGCTTACTCGGTGGTCTCAGGATATACGAGCAATGCTTCAAAGACACCTATGATCGAATATTAGTAGCCTACGAATATAGCGATGTTTTTAAAAAAAAATCGAGAATGAAGATTTTAGAAATCAGATTGCTATTAGAAATTTGTATTGACTAAACACTAGTCTATAGAAGAAATAATCATTCTTTTGGGGTGGGGTGGGAAGTATATCAGTCAGTCAGCTACAATGTAGGACCAGGCACATATATGCATCGGTTCAAGTTCCCATACCTCATTAACACAACAAGATGAACATCAAATTCATCGAAGTAGTTGCTTCAATGGTGATAATATATAAAAGAAAGTTTGTGTATAGGGATATAATACAGTGGGGGGGGGTGGACGAATTAGTTTGTAAAAAGAAAAAAATAAAAGTAGTTCTAATCTTACAGTTGAAGGGAAGACAAAGAGTATATACACCTACGCCATTGTGATAGATCCTGAGCCATGTCACTTAAAGTCTTCAACCGTTAGTTATGATAGTCGCAATGGAATAACGATCACGCTAAATGAAGATGTTAAGTAGAACATGGATTTGATCTGATTCTTTACTTTGAGGAAATGACGTAAACTTTCACAAAAATGAATATCCCTTCAATGTATCAATTAGTCACAGGTAAGTTAGGATCTGAAAATAACGTCTAATCATCTCAATATAAGAAAATTGTATCCTATGTTGAAAAAATTGTAGGGACAAAGAAGATCAAAAAACAATGAAAACTCTATGATGATACTTTTTCAACACCTAGATGATGATGTGAATGAATGCATCGATTACAACTAGCTCATTAATTATTGTTAGATGATCTGACCCTATCGACAGTCAATGACTTCATGATCCAATAAAATGTCTTCTTTCGGATATTCAAAATCTAACTGTTTTTAGCAATACAAATAGTAGATAGAAAACGATTAAATAAGACGAACACAGGTGATCATTTGACTGAAACATGTGCCAAATAATAATCGTTCTATTTTTCGCTTCATCATATATGCATTGGTTTTCAGGAGCAACAGACACTATTCACACTTTCACGTTACGAACCAAAAAGTACAGCTCAACCCCGTTTAACAGAAGAACTAGAAACTGGACAGCCTTCAATGCTAAAATCTGAATAGTATAGCTCAATCCTGTGGTGCAACCACACAGATACCAAACACTCTGATACACCATTCGCATCATTCATATAGACATTCACATCACACGTATAATTATCTTGATCAATAATCGCGAAAATCAATCATCCACAGCATGGGCAGGCCAAAGTTGACCCATTCCGCTTACATGATAGTCAAACTCATTACTATTAGCAATGACGACATGTCTTACAATGTTCTAATAACAATGGCCATTGAGAACACTGAAAAGCAATCACAAATATAAATGAAATCGGTTAACTAGCAAATCAGTTTTGCGTACGAACAGTCAGCAAAACTTGCCAAAGTAATGCCAAACCATTCACAATATCAATGGCGAAACTCCAGTCTCATATGTGACCTTCAGCTCTACATGGTAATATAGCTTATATTGCAAACAATACATATGTAAGGCGGTAAACGAAATAGCCTAACCTGAAGAGTTAGGGTATAAAGAACGCTTAAAGTCCATTTTCTTGTGTCACAATACTATTAATAGATCCTTGAGATCATTTTTATTGCACTTGAGAAATTTTCTTTTTTTTTCGACTTTTCAGACTTCTTAAGTTAGGGGTAGGTAGTATCCAATTTTTATATATTCTTCAAACTTTTGGCTTTCCGTATATAGCCTCTTCCAGCAAAGTCCTACTCATTGCCTACTCGTGGTGAGGTTGTTGTTTACGAAATTGAGAGGATGAAAAGCGAATGTCCAACGCTTTACCCAGGTTGGTGGACAAGGCGAGTCCACCTAGTAGAGTTGAAAAACCTTGATTCCAAACCAATGGTGCACATGGTCTGGCTCCAGTATCCTGAAGGAACAAATGACGTATGAACTAATCGTTGGTCACCGGCTACCATGGGACTGCATCTCCTTACGATGCTCCACTGCCTTGTAGACTAGACCTTTAGGTCAAAGGCTCCAGGTGTGGCCTCCTAAGAAAATCACCTACTTCTGTTTAGGAATGCGAACAGTATCACATACCTGACAGATATCAATGAGATTTGTATGGCACATATATATCTGGTGCCCCTTTGTATCAATATCTATGTGTTTAAATAATTAATTAAAACAAAACTCACTTGACATTGTATACTAAAAGTGTAGTTTATATCTGTGACTGATTTGTTTGATTGTTTTCTTAGGAAGAAGATAAAAAAATTTGAAGAACATTTCACAGCCATTGAATAGATAATGAATGAATTCAGTTATTCCAATGTTTCAGGAAGATCATCTAAATTGAATGTGGGTAAACAGACATGTAAAAGAAACTTAAAGAATAGGAATATATGCATATATTTATTGAAATAAGAAATATTTATCCCATTCTAAATAAAGATGGATAGTGATTAGCAGTTGAATCCAGTTTAACGGGTGTTTCGTCTTATTTAAGACTCATCAGACGGATATACCTGCATCTAAGAGTTGATGTTCACTCTAGGCTCCGAACCCAGTACCGTTCGCTTCACATGCTATTGTGTTTTCCATTGAGCTACTGAATCCTGATAGCCACTTGCTTGTGCAATCGGATGAAGTTTAAATTCACTTGGCATTGTTTGTTTGAATCTTCACATTGATATTTAGGACAGCAATTGATCAGTCTTTTATTGGCATATATTTTACTTGTGATGATTGCCTCCATATAACCTTAATTCACAAGCATTATCAGCAAAGATGGATAGTGGCTAGCAGTGGAAGTAAGTTTGACGTGCGTTTCGTCTTATTTAAGACTCGTCAGATGGATGTAACTTGATCTCAGAGTTGATGTTCACTCTGGAACTCAAATTTACTACCTTTCGTTTCGAACGCCATCGTGTTATCTACTTGGATATTGAGTTCTGATGAGCACATGCTTATGCAATGTGATCACGTTTAAATTTATTTGGTATTATTTACTTGAATCTTCCCATTGATTTTCTTAGAATGCTTATGAATTAAGACAATTTCAAGGCAATATTTAAAGTATGAATATATGACAATAAGAGACTGATCATTTACAGTCCTGTATACCAATGGAAAGATTCAAATAAACAATACCAAGTAAATTTAAAAATTATCAGTTTTTGTCATTGACCATTTGATGTGAAGGAGTTATCTCTTAATTCACTAAGTGGAAATTATACTGCTTATCAGTTAACTTTATGTCAATATAAGCCTGTGAAAGCCAACTTTGAAAGTGGATGACATATAGTACTTACTTAATTACTTACGCCTGTTACACCCAATGAAGCATAGGCTGCCGCCCAGCATTCTCCAATCCACTCTATCCTAGACCTTCCTTTCTAGTTCTATCAAACTTTTATTCATTCTTCTCATGTCTATCTCCATTTCTCGGCGTAATGTGTTCTTTGGTCTTCCTCTTCAACTTTGGCCTTCAGGATTCCATGTGAGGGCTTGTCTTGTGACGAAGTTGGGTTCTCCCATCAATGTGTGTCCTATCCACTTCCAGCACTTCTTCCTGATTTATTCCTCCGCTGGAATGTGGTTTGTTCTCTCCCACAATAGAATATTGCTGATATTGTCAGGCTCATTAAAAAGTTGGGTGTTTACTTATCACGTTTAATACTTATAAATATTACTTCATATTTCATAATTTATATCGGGGGAATAATCGTGGATGCGCGTTGCTGAGGAGTCCCATAATAGGACGAAACGGCCGTCCAGTGCTTCCAGGTTTTCCATAGTGGTCTAGCTTCAATTGACTCACGCTTTCAACCATAAATTACTTGTTACATCTTTGTTTAAAGGAATAAAAGAAAACTAGTTGTATGAAGGAACAAACTAATTGTTTACTTTTGCTTACAAGGTGACCTTCTTGAATATGTGGAATATCTGTTCTTGTCATTTAGATATTTCATAAAGTTATTTATTTTTCTTATTTGTTTTAATACATTATTATGTCTGTTAGTCACATAATCTATTCATATGTGGGTTTTTTTTGGAGATTTGGTATTTTCATAGTTGAAAGCATGAGTCAATTGAAGCTAGAGCACTATGAAAAACCTGGAAGCACTTGACGACCGTTCCGGTTGAAGTTAGACATTAACACCGTTGGATGTCGACTCAGTGATCTGGAGGTTAAGCGATCGCGCGTGAGACTGATAGGTCATGGGTTCGAACTTTTCGAGGCGGGATCATGTTTGTGCATTTCTGAGGAGTCCCACAACAAGAAAAACAGCCGTCCAATGCTTCCAGGTTTTCCCTGGTGGTCTAGCTTCAATTAACTCATGATGTCAACTATGAAAAGGAAATTTGCTCACTAGTGACTGGCTGTAAGGAATGTTTCCTTGAGTTCTAGTTGGATGCAGTGGCTAGTGGATTTCAACCAAGTCTGTTGTAGAGATATCAACTCACTGAAGACAATTGGTGAACGGTTGCTCAACTTCGTGGATCAGTTGAAGTTAGACATTAAAACCATTGGATGGCGGCTAGCTCAGTGGTCTATCGGTTAAGGACCGGTGGGTCCTGGATTCGAATCTCGCGATTTCGAGATCGTGAATGCGCACTGATGAGGAGTCCCATTATAGGATGAAACGACCGTCCAGTGCTTCCAGGTTCTATTCCGTGGTGGTCTAGCTTCAAATGACTCATGGTTTCAACTATGAAGAAATACTTTATGCTATTTATTGACTTTTAGCATGATTATCAGTCAACACTATAGTTTAATGTATCTGCCGTAAAGTTGACTATTGTAACTAGAGTCTGATATTATTCCTATTTCTTAATATACTAATCGATAATTAATCATAGAAATAAAAATTAAATTTCTATATAAAAGTAAAAATCATTTCATCTTTAAATTTATCATGTTACCATAACAACCAATAATTTATAAAGACTTTAAACATGTGATTATATACAGAAATGTAATTGGTAAGTAATCAATAGATGAAAATCAATATTAACCATGACAACTATTATATGTCATAGTTTCTTATTCACTGTTTTACAATTATTGATATTGTAATAAAAGTTGAAATGATATAGGTTATCCCGTGAGGTGGGATCGTGGGTGAACACTGTTGAGGAGTCCCACAGTAGTACGAAATGGCTATCCAGTGCTTCCAGGATTTTTATAGTGGTCTAGCTTCAATTAAATCATGATGTCAACTATTAAAATTACTATAATATCCACCCCTAAACGCCCTGATACGGCCGAGAGTGGGGGGAGTCCGCTCTCCCTCTCGAAATGCTCTCACATGGCCAGCGAATATATAGCCTCTGCCAGGGAAGTTCTACTCACTGAATTCTCGTGGTGGGAGTGTTGTTTACAAAATTGAGAGGACAAAACACGAATGTCCGGCGCTTTAACCGAGTTGGTGAACACGGAGGGTCATGCTCGGGCAGTTGGAAAACCCTGATTCCAAACCAATGGTGCACATGGTCTGGCTCCAGTATCCTGAGGGAACAAATGGCGTATAAATCAATCGTTGGTCAACGGCTACCATAGTCATGCATCTCTTCTTCACTGTCTTGTGGATCAGACATTTAGGTCGAAGGCTCGGGGTATGACTCATCAAGAAAACCACCTGTTTCAGTTTGGGCACCTGGTCAGTATCACAGCCCTCACAGAAATCAAATGAGATTTGTGTGGCATTCAGCGAAAGAGAGTTTACATAAGATTACTGTAATTAAAGATTGATTAAAAATGAGTTATGTAATTATTGAACAAAATTTGAAGAGTTTGCAAATGTTAAGAGAATGAAGTGAATGAAAATGCATAAGGGAAGAGATGATTTTTGGTGTATATAAAATAAAACCATATGACTATTAATCAAATAATGATAATGATAAAAAAAAAATAATTTACAAATGTAGTGATGCACATATGCCAACAAGAGACTGATCAATTGTAGTCCAATATAACAATGGGAAGACACAAGTAAACAATAACAAGTGAATATAACTTTATCCGATTGCACAAGCATGTGGCTATTAATACTCAGTAGCTAAGTGGATAACGTGATGGTGTTTGAAGTGAATGGTACTAGGTTCAAGTCCTAGAGTGAATATCAACTCTGATATGCAGATACATTCAGCTGACGTGTCCTAAATAGGACGAAATACGCGTCAAACTGAAATCCATTGCTAACCACTATCCATATTTGTTTATTTTAATTTTGTTTAACTTAAGGATATCGTTTTAGGGTTACATATTAGATTATTGTTCTTTGGTCGTTCTAATGTGAATCAAATCAAATTTGTTCGGTGTCATTGAGACTGATAAGCGTTCCCTATTTTCTAAGGAACATTAATTGTTGTTAGTCAGTAAATCCTACTCTATAGTTGATTGCTCACTTCAGAGTAATTAGTAATCGTTTAATATGTTTGAACAATTTCAGTAACCTTCTGATTTACAATTCAGTTTTATCAAGTGTTGTTATAATTGGTGTCAATGAACCATTCTACAATCCAAGTCTGTTAGGATTACTGGCAATTTTGGATTTCACAGTGTGTGTATGTGGAGAATGATAGATTTCATAGTATTTAGCATTTATTTATTTATTTAGGCACATAAATATTGGTACAAATGGGAACCAGATATATATGCGAAGCACAAATCTCATTCGATTTGTGTAAGGGCTGTGGTACTGCTCAGGTGACCAAACCGAAACATGTGGTTTACTTAAGGGGCAACACCTGGAGCCTTCGACCTAAAGGTCTGATCCACAAGGCAGTGGAGCATCGTAAGGAAATGCAGTCTCATGGTAGTCGGTGACCAACGATTGATTCATACGCTATTTCTTCCCTCAAGATACTGAAGCCAGGCCATGTGCACTATTGGTTTGGAATGAGGGTTTTCCAACTCCCCTATGTGGACTTTCCTTGTCAGACTTCCTTGGCAAAGGCTATATACGCGCGACTATGTGAGAGCATTTGGGGTGGGAGAGTAGACTCTCCCCACTCTTGACCGTACCAGGGCATTTGGGAGTAGTATTTAACCTATACTGATCCAATACTTTGGATGCTTAACTTAAGTCAATTAGACATGTAAATCATTGGATCCCGGTTCAAGCGGTTAAACGATAAGGAGTTCCTGTGAAACATTGAGGTTCTAGGTTTGATTCTCGGAAGTCCTCTCCTTATAACTTCCGTACTAGGAATAAATAACCATTGATTAATTGTCAAAGATTATTCCTTCGATATAAACTATGAAATATGAAGTAATATTTATAAGTATTAAACGTGATAAGTAAACACCCAACTTTTTAATGAGCCTGACAATATCAGCAACATTCTACTGTAGGAGAGAACAAACCACATTCCAGCGGAGGAATAAATCAGGAAGAAGTGCTGGAAGTGGATAGGACACACATTGATGGGAGAACCCAACTTCGTCACAAGACAAGCCCTCACATGGAATCCTGAAGGCCAAAGTTGAAGAGGAAGACCAAAGAACACATTACGCCGAGAAATGGAGATAGACATGAGAAGAATGAATAAAAGTTGGATAGAACTAGAAAGGAAGGTCTAGGACAGAGTGGATTGGAGAATGCTGGGCGGCAGCCCATGCTTCATTGGGTGTAACAGGCGTAAGTAAGTAGGTAAGTAACTATTAAATGTACAAAATTGATATTAACTGAAGCATACTGATTGATGTCTGTCAATATGACCATCCAATAAGTAGTTTACTCAACTATCAGCCATAGTGTACAATATTGTTATAAATCAGTAATGATAACCAACCTTAATAAACCTTTTGGACTAAAAACTATAATTACTGTGAGAATGAGTTCGATTTCTGAATATGTGATCGTAGTTGCTCACTACTAAGGACTATCAAACTAGAACCATAAACAACTATCCAGTAATTTTATAGTTTTAATAATCGTTTAAATAAGATCAATTAGCTATTTTTCAACTGTAAGAATTCTACAATCTTCAAAAATTACCTGGATAGTATTTTTTAGCGAGTTGGTTTTCTACGGGATGGGATCGCTAATACCCATGCCCAACCTTCCTCCTTTATCTGGACTTGGGACCGGCAGTAGCCCCCGGAGGAGCTACAGGCGGAGTTCATAAGTTACTTATACTAATATAATGTGAGCTAATCAATCTTAAAGATTAGTCGGTATAAGTTTATCGTATTAGCATCTTTTTAGCGAGTTAGTTTTCTACGGGATGGGATCGCTAATCCCATACCCAACTCTCCTTCTTTATCTGGAATTAAGACCGGCAGTAGCCCACGGAGGGACTTTGGGAGAACAATAATTATCAAACTATACAATTCACTACTAGAAATCTAAGGACAAGTTTATTCCCAATTAGGTCTAATCCAATTTACGGTAATGGATAAATTAAAACGAGATTAACACAAAACTTTAAATAATTATAATAAAGCATTGTATTAAGTATCAAAGTAATTGATTGTGAGTTTAAGTTATCAACGGGAATATTAAACAAAAACCTTGTACCACTTTACATAAATCTCCACAAAAGCCCTTCTGATTATAATCATATGCTCACTAGTGACAGACTTCAAGATACACAAACTGGAGTTATAGTGGGAAGCAGTGACCAGTGGAGTTCAACCACGTGTGTTGTGAGATATCAACTCACTGAAGACAATTGGTGAACGGTTGCTCAAATTCCGTGGGTCTGTTGAAGTTAGACATTAAGACCGTTGGATGTCGGCCAGCTCAGTGGTCTGTCGGTTAAGGGCTCTGGCTCGAGACTGGTAGGTTTTGGGTTCGAATCTCGCGAGTGCAGGATCGTGGATGCGGGCAGCTGAGGAGTCCCATAATAGGACGAAACGGCCATCCAGTGCTTCCAGGTTCTATTCCGTGGTGGTCTAGCTTCAATTAACTCATCATTTTAACTTGTTTTTAATTTAGACATTCTTAACTTTAGTGTGTTAATCGATAGAGTAATCCAGTATAGTTGGTATCTGACGAGGCAATCAACAATGATGATTGGAGTCCATGAAACATATTTTGATCGTGGTGGCTAAGCTAGACAAGTCAACATCTTAAAGAACTAGTCAGCAGCTACAACGTAGGACCAAGCACATATACATATCGGTCCAAGTTGCCACAACAAGATCAACACTGGATTCATAGAAGTAGTTAATTTAGTGGTGGTAGTATATAAAAGAAAGGCTGTATATAAGGGTGTAGTATAAGAAGGAAGAAAGTTATGAAGCTATTTTAATTTCAAGGTTTACGAGAAGATAAAGAGTGTATACACCTACGCCATTGTGATCGATTCTGAGCCATGTCACCCACAGTCTCCAATCATTGGTTACGATAGTCGCGCGGACACCAACTAAGTAGTCTGCACTTGCCAACATAGCTCAGACTAGAAGTTAGTGGCTTCAAACACTGATGCCACGTTTTGGTTTTACCGTCCCTAACTTTCTTCCAACCATCCCCTACACTAGTTAGTATAGCGCGTCTTGGTAATCGGTGTTCAGACATACGTAACACGTGGCCTAACCATCTCAGTCGATGAATGTTATACTGCTTAGTTCTTTAGTTCTTAGAGAGAAATCTTATCGTTTCTAACTATAAACATGATTGACATAAACTTAAATCTCTCACTTTTATACTATAAATCAAGTCAATCATTATCATAATCAGAAATCATAAAAACGAATGGTTTTTTTCACCTAACTTACCCCAAACAAGTGTAAGATAGTCATTTATATTTCCAGATTTACCTGAAAGTTTAATAAATAAACAAACAAAATCATGAATAGTTTCAGATAACTTTGATGTCTATAGGTAAATCTATTTCAGTGGATAACTCCGCTTGTAGCTCTTCTAGTATCACTGCTGGTCCTAAACCCGGGTAAAAGAGGAGATTTGGATATGGGGTCGGGAACCTAAATTTGTAGAAAACAATCTTGTTGAAAAAATGTCAACCAGATTGAAAAAAAATAAACCATTTAAACTCTATCCTGGAAGTTGAAAGGAGAATTATGACGCCTCAGGATGAAAGTCGAAATTCTTCGGAAGTCACGAGTCCGATGCACCTTCTAACAACCAGAGCAACACTTTTTATGGATAAATGGAATATTTGGACGATGTGGGAGACAGGGAAAACAAGTCGGATAGCTATGTAAATGAGGAGATACATAAAATAGTGAATTTATACTGTGAATGTTTTGTAGCTCCACAAACTAATAATCTTACGATCATTATCGAATCATTATGTGATAATCAGTGACCAGATTATTTAAACTTCCAAATAATCAATGTATGTAATGTAGCTATATTTCCATGTAGAGATGAAGGTCTTATGTGAGACTGGATGCTCGCTATTGATATTATGGATGGTTCGACATTACTTTGACAAGTTTCGCTGACTGTTCATATGCAAAACTGATTTGTTGGTTAACCGATTTCATTCATACTGGTGGTTGCGTTTCAGTAATTTCAAGGGCCATTGTCATTATAACATCGTAAGGTATGTCATCATTACTAACAGTAATGAGTTTGACTTTCATGTAAGCGGAATAGGTCAACTTTGTCCTGTTCATGTTGTGGGCAATTGATTTACGCAATCACTGATCGGTATAATTATACATCTGATATAAATGTACTTATGAATGATGTGAATGGTGTACCAGGGTGTTTGGTATCTGTGTGTTTGCGCCACAGGATTGAGCTGTACTATTCAGATTGTAGCGTTGAATTCTATATGGTGTCTGGTTCTCCTGCGAAACGGGATCGATCTGTACTGCTAGGTTCAGGCCTAGGCGGTGTCTGGCTCTCGTGTTGAACGGAATTGAGCTGTACTGTTTTGGTTGTCACGTGAAAGTCTGGATGGTGTGTGGTTTTCCTGAAAATTATCCTTACCCACAAGGGTATATTATATAACTATTATATAAATAACTCATCAATTATGATACTCGGTTATTTTCTATTATATCATATCCATCCTTCTTCTTCTAATTCTGATGTTATTCCGATTGTACTTTTGTTAAATGATTATTATTTGGAACCATAGTTTAGGTATTGATTATTGTCATATAATCTTACCGTCCTGAAAATAGATCCGACTTGTCGAATTCAACTGAAGGCGTTGTGGAAGGTAAAGTTTTTTTCAATGGATTTTTTTAAGGTATGGTTACTGCTTCTGATGCTCTGGCTTGGTTGCTTCTGGATCAAGAAGGTAGTGTAATGGTAGAGAGGACATTGGAGGTTCCCTAGTCAACATCAGCTTTCTGAGTCGCATGTAGTTCAATTGTTGTGTAAGATATTTTCCTTAGGCATCACTCTTGTAAATCAAGTCATAGACTATTAACGCGACACCAGCTACTCCAGATTGACGACCATTGTCAAAATCTTCTTACATATACTGATAACCTTTTAGAGAATCGACGTTTAGTACTCCTGACCTTGAGTTTATAGTTCATCTTTACTTCCTTTGGATACATCGTATTATACAAATCTGACTGCTTATCTAACTACATATAAACTACACTAAAAGTAATGTACTTATATATCACTTTGATAGTTTCTATGTTACTTTTACTTATCATAAACTTTTACTAAATACTATTATGATGTGGACTACTGATGTCGACAGATATAAGTAGTATGTATCACTAATGAAAGAGAAAAGAACAAGAACGTAGAGTGATTATGTTGAGGATGTTAGATCCACAGAACTCACTTAGAAAAGACTCTAATTTTGTAATTTTATTCTGAAAATTTGAATTTTGTGATTTCGCGCCAAGAGACGCTTAGTTGACCTACAGTTTACATTACTCACTCGAAAATCCTTGACTGTCAATGGTTGATAAAGTTTTTTAGTATGCTATTTTGTGGCTCTCTCAAGGGCATTTATATCATTGTATAAATAAGCTTGGTTTGTGTACTTAGTGACCTCGTATTTTCTAGGTGATTGTAGAATACATTCTGTACGCCTCATCAAGACTTCATGATCTAATAAGCAGGGCCGAGGACAACGGATTAATAAAAAGCCTATTGTGTTACTGTGTCTTTGATCTTCATTCCGTTTACCGAGTAACGTGAACTCGTAATGAAATCAAGCATACCAGATTGGTGTGAAGATGAAGGAACAACAAAGTCTGAGACAAATGATGAATGGTTTTCATATGAAAGGTTACTCTATGGTTCATAGATTTGATCACTATATTCTAAAGAATAAATCATTCTAAATGTTTATAGGTGTTCAATATTAAGGAAGTCGTCATATTGTATCACAAAGCAAGCATTAACTAGGAATCTTGAAAGGAAACGGGGAAAAAAGGGAAGGTCAAAGAACATATTGAATCAAGAATTGGGAGTGGACTTGAAAGGGATGAAAAATAACTGGAAGCAAGTGAAAAGGATTGCCTAGAAGAGAGTTGGATGGAGAACTTTGGTGGGTGGTTCCCTATTTATTATTCATTTATTTATTTATTTAAACACATAAATATTGGTGCAACAGGGAACCAGATATATATGCGCCACACATGTCACTTGATTTGTGGGTTGGCTGCGATAATGCCCGGGTGCCCAAACTGGAACAGGTTGTTTTCTTAGGTGGCCATACCCTGAGCCTTCGACGTAGAGGTCTAATCCACAAGGCAGTGGAGTAACGTAAGTAGATACAGTCCTATGGTAGGCGGTGAATAACGATTGGTTCATACGCCGTTTGTTCCATCAGGATCATGAAGCCCATGTACACCATTAGTTTGGAATGAGGGTTTTCCAAGTCTCCTAAGTGGACTTTCAGTGTCCACCAACCCGGTTAAAGCGCCGGATATTCGCTTTTCGTCCTCTCAGTTTGTTAAACAACAGTAATAACATGAGAACGCATTGAGTGGAATTTCCCTGACAGTAGCTGTATGCATGTGGCCGTGTGAGAGCATTACGAGAGAGAGGGCGGCTCCTCCACACTCGACCGTACCAGGGCATTTGGGGAGCAGGATGATCTCTACTCCTCTACGACGATTAACAGACGTAAGTAAGTAAGTGATGAGTGTTTAATAAGAATTAATACATATTTCATTGAATCAATGTTACTTACCATCTTCCTGATTATTATTATATTCCATGGACTTCATTGAATTTTCTTCAGTATCCTGAATATCATCGTTGACATCAGTATAATCCTCATGATTATCATCTTCATCTTTGTTATTTATATTATATACAATAGTAGATGAAGTTGATAAATTTAATGAACTTTTACTTTTATATTGTAATTGTTTAAATTCATTATAGAAATGACTATCAGTGATTTGATAAGATTGATTCGTCGATGATGATGATGATGATGATGTCGATGAGGATGTTGATGCTGATGTTGATAATGATAATGATGATAGTTGACTAATATCATTCGATACAAAATCAGAATCTGTTGATGGTGACGATGACGATGACGTCGAAGAAGACGACGTCGGCGGCGGCGATGACGTTATTATTGTTGTTGTTTTAACTTTATCAATATTGTTTAATTGATTAATTTTTTGATTATCATTTATATCTAACTTTAATTGATATTGTTCAATATCTGTTAATAAACAATCATCAATATATTCATCTGTAGGTTGTTCATTATTCAATAAATAACCACAATTAGAATAACGATGACTCCTTCCATTATTATTATCAGTAGTATTATAAGTAGTATTGTAACCAATATTGTAAGTAGATTGACTACGTGAAAGTGGATATACAGAAGGTGAACAAGTAAATGGATATTTGGATCTATGATTATTATGATTATTGTTATTATTGTAATAACCACGTTGACCATCATGATAATAATGTCGATTGTAGGGTCGACCACGTTTACGATTATAATACTGATAATGATTATCAGCACCTTCATTAACAGTACGACTATCGCCATGAACAGTTCCAGGATTATAAAATTTCATATTATTATTATTATTACCATAATAACGTCGACCAAATACGTTTTTTGGTATATAACCCTTATCAATGGGTATCACTAAATTATTGAATGAAAATAATAATGATTGTAAGGTTTAATCATAAAGGTAGTAACTAACTAAAGGGTAAAACTTAAAAAAGTAGGATAGATGAATCAATCTTATTTTTGGTGGATGAAATAATGAGGAGGTCAGTGGAGCTAATCCATGCCATGTAGAGACAAGTATCTACCTCAGTACAATAGAAGTTGGTTGCGCAATTTCGCGGATTGGTTGAGGTTAGACATTAACACCGTTGGATACCTGCTAGCTCAGTGGTCTGTCGGTTAAGTGCTCTGGTGCGAGACAGGTAGGTTCTGGGTTCGAATCTCGCTCACGAGGTGGGATCGTGGATGTGCACTACTGAGGAGTCCCACAACAGGACGAAACGGCCGTACAGTGCTTTCAGGTTTTACATAGTCGTATAGCTTCAATTGACTCATGATCTCAACTATATAAAATTACTAAAATTTCCACAAAACCCCCTTGTTATAAAAGATCTGTCGAAGATCTAATAGAAAGTATGGTACTATCGTAATGACATATTAAAATATTTTCAGCTTAACTTAGATAAGCTTAATTATAAACAATAAGAATTTTTATCTCAGTAGAATGTTTTTGATGGAGTTTTGTTCTCTGAACTGGGACTTTCATCATTATCAATACAACATTCAGATAGGAGTGAAATATCCGAAGTTTTCCATAGATATGGCTTATATAGCCTATCCTGTAGACCTTGATATTAATTGCATATTGTTAACCTTTAACCTGACATTGTTTACTTCTACCAATTGACAGATATGTCTATGAATCAAGATCAGACAACTTCTATATTCCGTCAATGAAAACTGTCTTACCAAAATTTCTGTTCAATCTAAAGTGATACAGTATTATTCGTTTGAATCATCCTATCAGTACACATAGTGTGACGAGAAGAAGTTTTTTCCAGAAGAAATCAACATTATTCAGGAGAAAACATTTATCAAGGTCATGAATCGATTAATCTTAGACCACCATTAAAAAACCTGAAAGCATTGGATAGCCAATTCATTTTATTGTGGGATCATTCAACGGTGCGTATCTACGATCCCTTTCGAGGAATTCGAACCTAGGGTCTTGAGTCTCACACGTGAACGCCTACTACCAAAATAAATAAATTAGAATTTGTAGATTCCTTAAAACAATGATTATTGGTAACTATGGATCATAATCTTTTAGATTCAAACAAACAATACTAATTGAATTTAAACTTCACCCTATCGCACAAGCAAGTGGCTATCAGGACTCAGTGGCCGAGTGGATAACGCGATGACATTTGAAACAAACGGTACTGGGTTCGAGTTCCAGAGTGGACATCAACTCTGAGATGCAGGTACATCCAGCTGATGAGTCCCAAATAGGACGAAACGCGCGTCCTGGATTCCACTGCTAGCCATTATCCATCTCTGCTTAAATCCTTTAGATTGCCTTCACCAATTGAAGTATAAATATCTCTTGTTGATAGCTGTAAGATAACTAACTCTTGATTCTAAGTAATGATAATTGTGAAGAAACTGAAGTTAACCCTCAACTTTACTCTTACCAACTATTATTCAACACTACAGTCTCTAGAATTAAGTAACAATATTGAGATTATTCAATAGTAACTAAGATCATCACTCCAGACATTCATTTGATTCTAATTAATAATGGTCATTACTTTGCTGGAAGCGAGGGGGGATGGTTAATACAGAAAGTAGTTTCATAATCCAGATTTTCTTTTGTTGCGTCAAAAATAAGATGATTTAAAAAGATATGGAGGAGTTAATACAAAGCTAACTTTTCACAATTGATTGATCACTGGTTGGTGATCAATGTCATGTGTGTCGAGTCCTTTTTAGTATTGATCGAATGCTATCGATCAAGTTGCAATGTGGCCAATAGTCTAGGTGGCTTGATACTGCGTGCACTATGTTGAGATAAGTTAGTGGTTGGAGGTGGTCAACAAGAAACTCTAGACCCGGGTTTCATGCTACTTGGTACTCGTCAGTAAGGTGTACCTGTAATCTTGAGGGAACTGGTGCTCCGTGACGGATCAATTGTGATTACATCTCACTCCTACAGCAGGTCGATCGCGACCCGAATAGCTTAGTGGTAACGCCTCTGTCTAAGAAGCTGGGTGATGCGAGATCGAATCCGTCAGAGAGCACTAGTTCCCTCAAGATTACAGGTACACCTTACTGACGAGTACCAAGTAGCATGAAACCCGAGTTCAGGGTTTCCTGTTGACCATCTCCAACCACCATCTTATCTCAGAGCTAAATCTTCCCTAATAATGTTTACTGTAATAAAAACATGAAGGCGATACATTTTAATAACAAACAAATAAACCATTACACTTACTTCCCTCATGAATAACTTCTCCACGTACCCAAGGAGTAACTGGTGCATTATCTACATATAAATTCAATTGACTAGAATGTGATGTATAATTTGATTTATTTAAGGTTGGAGCTGTACAGTTAGAAAATCGATCATAATTGGAGACCATCTTATTGATTAGTTGATAGATATATAATGATAAACGTATTCTGAAATATAAGTTAATTAGAACAGTGAATTTGTTGAATGTATCGAACAAGTGGTAATTAACATTAATTAATCAATAATTCAATATGTTCATAGTTGAAATCATGAGTCCATTGAAGCTAGACAACCATGAAGAACCTGAAAGCACTGGATGGCCGTTTCATTCTAATGTGAGACACCTCAGCAGTGCGCATGTACGATCCCGCCTGGCGAGCGAGATTAGAACCCAGGACCTGTCAGTCACGCATCAGAGCACTTAACCAATAGACCACTAAGCTGGAATCCAAGCGGTGTTAATGTCTTACTTCAACCAATCCACGATTTTGAGTAACCGTTCACCAATTGTCTTCAATGAGTTGATATCTCTATAACAGACTTGGTTGAACTCCACTGGTCATTGCTTGCCATTAGAATCCAAGGAAATATCTCTTGAAGTCAGTCACTAGTGAGCATATGATTATAGGTCAGAAGGGGTTTTGTGGAAAATTTAGTATTTTCATAGTTGAAATCATTAGTCAATTGAAGCTAGACCACTATGGAAAACCTAGAAGCATTGGACGGCCATTTCTTCCTATTATGTGACTCCTCAGCAGTGCGTATTCACGATCCTGCAGTATGTGTTTATAACTAATAAAACCAATAGATTAATTGCTTTCAGCAACAAAAATTGCGGTGTGTACTACTGATGTCGACAGATATAACTAGTATATGTCGTCAATCGAAAGTTAAATGTCTGGAGGCAGATGGTTAAAAATATCAAAGAAAAGAGAACGAGAACAGAGGTTGATTGGTGCAGAAATGAAAGAACAATGAAGTCTCAGACGATTGAATGATTGATAGTTTGCAAATGAAGTATTTACTGTATGGTTCTTAGATTATATTAAGGCATTCTATAATTTTGTATTCCAGTACATTCAATTGTCCCCACTTATGTTCTCATTCACTACAATATGACTAAATTACTGAGTTATATATTATCTTACTATTAAGCTTCAGCTTACGAATCAATTTACTTAGGATTCGTCAGCTAGATGAAGCTGTTTTACAATGTTAATGTTCATACTTCTTCTCGAACCCATTACTAATCTATTCAAACAATAAGATGTTATCCGATAAGATACTGATCTCAGTCTGTGATCATCGTATACGTTCGTTACAACATTTTCTTTGTTTTCTTCATTGATGGTAATATGGAGTGAATTCGATGCGTCAGTCTCGTCATATGTTCATCATGAATGGATAGTCCGAAGGGGTTTTGTGGAGATTTCAGTATTTTTCACAGTTGAAATCATGAGTCAATTGAAGTTAGAATGAATACTTCGTTATTGCCAATATTGTGTTATGAGTACATGGAAACAACATGTTCTAGAGTGATAGACATGTTCAGTCCTGAATATAACAAGTTAGAAATGTATACACAAGTTAAGATATATGTTTTCTAATTAAAGTTACCTATTTATCAATTGCTATTACTTAACGACTTCATACTAACTAATATGGTTTATTAGTGATAATTTCGTCAATTATTCATTGACCCAGTTCCAGAATGAGTAGATTAAAAAGATGTTCTAAGGTAAGTATTTATCATATTACGAAATATACTACTCATGTTGTAAACATGAATATAAGATTAACGATATTAATCCGAAAATTAGGCCTTGAACAATCAGAGCAAGGTTATCAAGATAGAGTAATTCAGTATACTTGGATTAATTTTTGAAAAAAAAAATTACTAATAAGGTTATTCAACACATCAATGTAGGTCTTTCAATTACACTATTCAATCACCTCTACAACTTCCCCAGTTTTTTGAATCATAAAAAAGGATAAAGCTGATAACAGCAAGAAATTTTACGGAAATTCACAAAACTACTAAAACGCAACGCTGAAAACTAGCCAGCAATTTACGTCGATACGAGAAAAAAACAAGCGATATGTTACAAGACTATTCAAATTCAGATTCATTTGATATTGTTAGTTTGATTCTCCCTACATACAGGTGACTAGCCCCAAATAGGACGATACACGTGCCTTGCATTTCACTGCTAACCACCAATCGTTTTTTGCTCATAATCCCCGTAATTTAAGACAATATCGAGGCAATGCACACACAATCGGAAGATTCAAACAAACAATATCAAGTGAATTTAAACTTCATTTCATTGTGCAAATAAGTGGCTATCAGGACTCAGTAGCTAAGTGGATAATGCGATAGTGTTTGAAGTGAACAGTACTGGGTTGGAGTCCTAGAGTAAACATCAACTCTGAGATGCACATTCATCCAGCTGACAAGTCCTGGTTTTCACTGCTAACCACAATCCAACTGTATTCCACTTCAGAATAAAAATAAAGAATATGCTCATATAAAGTATCTATGCTTATTGATTTTAACTAGAGTTTCTAGTCATTAACTTTTAACTCCATAACGATCCCAGCATATATGCATATACTTTCTTGAATATTTTCAACCACACCTAGGTGTGGTTGAATAGGTGGTAACTAAAAGTATTTATCAAAATTGAATCATTTAAGGCTGACTCAATTTGTTGACTGCTTAGACTGGTGTAATTGTGAGATGGTGGAGTAGATTTGTATCTCAGGTGAATGATTTTGATGGAGTTTTGTTCCCTGAGATGGATGGTTTGGTCATGGAGCTTTTATCGTCCTTCTGAACGACATCATCAGTACAAACTTTGAAGAGAACAAAACTCCATAAAAAACTGGTGTAATTTATTTGACCAAGTGTCTACATTAGAGTTCTTTAATATTAAAGAGGGAATGTTAATATCCTTTTGACAGATTCTGTAACTTCTTCATAATGAATCATTTCTATTACAGCCTTATATGATAACAGAAAATGGAATAGATTTATTGAATGTGTTTTGGACTGTCATAGTATGTCATACGGATATTCGCGGATGAAAACAGAAAAGAATGAGAAAAGAAGAACTGGTGAAAGAAAACACTGAAATCAATAATAGTAATGATGTAATAAACAAAGAATTCAAGCGTGGAAGTCCAATTTATTATTCTATCGACCAGTAATTTTATTTGATAATCATATGCTCACTAGTGATTAGCTTCAAGAGGTATTTCCTGGAATTCTAGTGAGAGGCAGTGATCAGTGGAGTTCAACCACGTCTGTTGTGAGGTAGTAACTTACTAAAGACAATGATGGACGGTTGCTCGATTTCGTGGATTGGTTGAAGTTAGACATTTACATCGTTGGATGCTGACTCAGTGGTCCATCGGTTAAGTGCTCTGGCGCAAGATTGATAGGTCGTGGGTTCGAATCTTGTGAGGCGTGATCGTGGATGCGCACTGCTGAGGAGTCCCACAATAGCACAAAACGGTCATCCAGTGCTTCGAGTTATTCCATGGTGGTTTAGCTTCAATTGAACCATGATTTAAACTATAAAATTACTGAAATCTCCACAAAACCCCTACTGATAATCATAAAACGGACAGAATTTGGCTGCTAAACAGTATATTTTTCTTTTTAATCGAGTCTTATTCTCTGAGGTGGATGGTTTTATCGTGGAGCTTTCATCGTTCTCCTGAACGACATTATCAACATAAACTTCGAGTAGAAGTGAAGTGTTTGAATTTCTCCACATAAGTTTTATAGCTTATCCTGTTGACCTTAAATCTGTCATTGTTTATATACATATATATATTTCTTCGGAATAAACGTTCGATTAGACATAATGTACACTGTTTTTTTGTTAGTTAGAAAAAGACAATGATGATTAAGTACTGTCTATAAAACGTATTTCAACTCAACAATCATAACTACTTGTTTTCACTTTCTATTTTGAGTTTACTAACATTAAAAATCTCAATTAAAACAGCAAATACAAAAAAATTTTATATAGTTGAAATCTCAAGTCAATTAAAGCTAGACCGCTATTAGAAACCTGTAAGCACTGGATGACCATTTCATCCCAGTATGAAATTCCTTAACAGTGTGCGTCTTCACACCCAAAAATGGACTCGAACTAATGACTTTCGGTCTCGCGCACGAAAGCTTAACGTCTAGACTATTGAGCAGAAATTCTTATTCTCTTCTTTTTCATCTATCTTCTTAACAATCTACCTTCAGATATTTTATTCTCGATTGATGATATATACTACTTATATCTATCGATATCAATAGTACATATCACATTAAAATGCTACACATAGACTCATTAACATAAATATTTTTTTGTGAAAACTTATTTACAAAATCAATATTGATCGATAAGAAAAAAAAAAGGACAACAATCTGATATTCAATAATCAACCATAACAATCACAAAAAAAAATCAATAAAATGTAGTTACATTTAAATTACAGTTAAAACAAAAAAAATTCTATGATTAAATTAATTGAGAAAAGAATTATCAAAAGGGGGGGGTTTGTCAAGATTTTAGTAATTGTGATGATTGAATTAATGAGTCAATTAAACCAAGATAAGCATGAAAAGCTTAAAAGCATTGGAAGGTTGTCTCGACCCAGCATAGGACCCCTACAACATAGCGCATCTACGATCCCGCGTCTCGGGACTCGAACCCAGGATCATCGATTTCTTTTGAGAATGGTTAACTTCCAGACCATTGGAATAGCAAATGTTCAACGCTTTTAATATCTAATTTCAATCAATCCATGAAATCATGCCACTGTTTACCATTGTCTTCAGTGAGTTACTATCTCACAGTAGATTTGATTGAAGCAATAAGTTCTGAGTTTGAATCTCACGAAGTGCGATCGTCGATGCTCACTTTTGTGGAGTCCTATACTAGAATGAAACAGTCGTCCAGTACTTCCAGATTTTCAATAATGATCTAACATTCATCCATTTATGATCTCAATCAAAGACTTAACAATATCCACAACCTTACCTTGAAAACACATGCAAAATAAGTTATCTTTAAGGTAAAAATTAAAGGTTTTCTTAGGTTTTACTATTTTTAGAAGAGGTTTTGTGGAAATTTCAGTATTTTTCATAGTTGAAATCATG